AGAAGTCATGGTTCCCAACCTGGGAACCAGAGGTTACCATTGCAAGCAACTGCCGGTTCCCAGAGGTTGGAACTCATGCTTCCCAACCTGGGAACCATAGGTTACCATTGCAAAGAACTTCCAATTCCTAAAGGTTGGAACTGATGGTTCCCAACGTGGGAACCAAAGGTTACCATGGCAAGGAACTGCCGGTTCCCAGACCTTGAAGCTTACGGTTCCCAACCTGGGAACCAGAGGTTACTATTACAAGGAATTGCCGGTTCCCAGAAGTTAGAATTTATGTTTTCGAAGCTAAGCGGCTATCATTGTAAGGAACTGCGGGTTCCCAAAGCTTGAAACTCATGGTTCCAAGACTGAAAACGTAACGTTACCAGTGGAAGGATCTGTTGAGTGCAAAAAGTTAGAACTCATGGTTCTTAATGTTGTTTTGTTTTGTGTGCTGAACCGGTAAAAGAACTTTTTGTTTTGCTTGATGGACCAGTAGCGGAATGTTTGCGTTTGGCTGTTGGGCCGGCATAAAAATGTTTTTGCACGAAAAAGGTGCATGTCAAAATGATATGAAAACAGTCTCTTTACAATTTTATGGTTTTGCTTACTGGACCGGTACAGAACGCTTTGTTTTGCTTAACGGACCGGTACCGGAATGTTTGCGTTTGGTTCATGGCAAGGAACTGCCGGTTCCCAAACGTTGGAATTCAACGGTTGCCAACGTGGGAACCACAGGTTACAATTGCAAGGAACTGCCGGTTCCCAGAGGTTGGAACTCCTGGTTCCCAACCTGGGAACCATGGGTTACCATTGCAAGAAACTGCCGGTTACCAGAGGTTGGAACTCATGCTTTCTAACCTGGGAAACATAGGTTACCATTGCAAAGAACTTCGGGTTCCTAAAGGTTGGAGCTGACGGTTCCCAACGTGGGAACCAAAGGTTACCATGGCAAGGAACTGCCGGTTCCCAGACCTTGAAGCTTACGGTTCCCAACCTGGGAACCAGAGGTTACCATTGCAAGGAATTGCCGGTTCCTAGAAGTTAGAATTTTTGTTTTCGAAGCTAAGCAACTATCATTGTAAGGAATTGCCGGTTGCGAAAGCTTGAAACTCATGGTTCCAAGCCTGAAAAAGCATACGTTACCAGTGGAAGGATCTGTTGATTCCAAAAAGTTCAAACTCATGGTTCTTAATGTTGTTTTGTTTTGTTTACTGAGCCGGTAACAGAACCTTTTGTTTTGCTTCATGGACCGGTGCCAGAATGTTTGCGTTTGGTTCATGGCAAGGAACTGCCGGTTCCCAAAGGTTGGAACTCAACTGTTGCCAACGTGGGAACCACAGGTTACCATTGCAAGGAACTGCCGATTGCCAGAGGTTGGAACGCATGGTTCCCAACCTGGGAACCAGAGGTTACCATTGCAAGCAACTGCCGGTTCCCACCTGGGAACCACAGGTTACCATTGCAAAGAACTTCCAGTTCCTAAAGGTTGGAACTGATGGTTCCCAACGTGGGAACCAAAGGTTACCATGGCAAGGAACTGCCGGTTCCCAGACCTTGAAACTTACGGTTCCCAACCTGGGAACCAGAGGTTACCATTGCAAGGAATTGCCGGTTCCCAGAAGTTAGAATTTATGTTTTCGAAGCTAAGCGGCTTTCATTGTAAGGAACTGCGGGTTCCCAAAGCTTGAAACTCATGGTTCCAAGCCTGAAAAAGTAACGTTACCAGTGGAAGGATCTGTTGATTGCAAAAAGTTAGAACTCATGGTTCTTAATGTTGTTTTGTTTTGTTTACTGAGCCGGTAACAGAACCTTTTGTTTTGCTTAATGGACCGGTAACGGAATGTTTGCGCTTGGCTCTTGGGCCGGCATAAACATGTTTTTGAACGAAAAAGGTGCATGTCAAAATGATATGAAACCAGTTTCTTTACAATTTTATGGTTTTGCTTAATGGACCGGTAAAGAACACTTTGTTTTGCTTAATGGACCGGTACCGGAATGTTTGCGTTTGGTTCATGGCAAGGAACTGTCGGTTTCCAAAGGTTGGAACTCACGGTTGCCAACGTGGGAACCACAGGTTACCATTGCAAGGAGCTGCCGGTTCCCAGAGCTTGGAACTCATGCTTCCCAACCTGGGAACCATGGGTTACCATTGCAAAGAACTTCCGTTTCCTAAAGGTTGGAACTGATGGTTCCCAACGTGGGAACCAAAGGTTACCATGGCAAGGAACTGCCGGTTCCCAGATCTTGAAACTTACGGTTCCCAACCTGGGAACAAGAGGTTACCATTGCAAGGAATTGCCGGTTCCCAGAAGTTAGAATTTTTGTTTTCGAAGCTAAGCAACTATCATTGTAAGGAATTTCCGGTTGCGAAAGCTTGAAACTCATGGTTCCAAACCTGAAAAAGCACACTTCACCAGTGGAAGGATCTGTTGATTCCAAAAAGTTAGAACTCATGGTTCTTAATGTTGTTTTGTTTTGTTTGCTGAGCCGGTAACAGATTCTTTTGTTTTGC